CAGTATTTCTTCATTTCTAAATTCGCAGTGGATATTTGTCTGCTAAACGTTTTCTGTTGATTTGGCGATAATCAACTTCTTGTAAAATACAAATGGCCGTTGGCGTTATTTATACGGTTCTCGTCCGATCCGTACGGCTCCGATTTCAGAATTGAATTCTTCTTTTTTTGTTCTTCTTCTTGTTTTGCTCGATTCATCGATATCACTTACGATATCAGGCATATTGCATTAAGTTGCTTATTATCTTACCCTATAGTATGGTTACATTGATACATTTAAATTTACATTCGATTGGTTGTCGATCTTACATTCGGCTAACCTGACTATAGATCGCCCACGATCTTACCATTTTGGGGTTACAATGCATCTCACTTATTTATATGATCTTAGGTTATCTATATATATAGGCTAACGACATACATCTTTTGTGTCGGATATATACTGAACCCATGGCTTGAGCCTAGCTAGCTCTAATATACTACAGTATGGCATCTGGGTCAATTAGCAATCTTCAATATCAACCACTTCATAACGGTCGTTGTCAAAGACTCTGTTTATCTTATACGGGCCACGATATTTTGGTGCTAATTTCTTATTAGCTCCTATTGTAGTGTCAACATTACGAATGGCCACGTAATCACCTATTTGATACGTTAACGGGGCTTTATGTTTCTTGCCATATATTTTCTCATTTCTTAGCTGTGAGCACAAAATATTTTCACTAGCTTTCTTTCGCACCACATTAAGATTTCTTTCCTCTAAGTTTAATTTATCCTCTGAATATTTAATTCATCAACTATTGGTCCTTTTTGGATCACTCCAAATAACAAGATACTGGGTGTTTTCTGCGTGCTACTATGAATAGCGTTATTTATGGAATGCTCGACTTTGCTCATCAACTTATACCAATCCGCCTGATGAATGGGCTCTGAGAGTTTACCTAACATGAGGGTGAGAACACGATTAACTCTTTCAACTTGGTCATTAGCCTGTGGTGCCCCAGTGGCAACTTTGATATACTCTATACCGCGTTTTTGCAAGAAATTCGCAAACTCTAGGGATGTGAAACACGTGCCTCGGCCCGAGATTATTCTTACAGGCTTACTGTAAAATTCGAAATATTTACTCAAGCCGTCTTTGGCTTCACGTGTACTGGTACTATTTACCGGAAATAACTTCACAAATTTTGTGAAGGCACTACGATTTCCAAAATATGTTTTCTTTTCGATGTGATACTCGGTAAAGGGCCTAGATGGTCTATGTGTAATGTATGAAAGGGCACTTCTGACTTCGGTATGCTATGTAATGTTCTATTATGTATGGTTTTGGGCATAGAGTGTAATATGCACGGCAAACAATTTCTAATAAATTGTGCTACTTTACTACGCATTGCCGGGAACCAATATGTTCTTTTTAGGTCATTAACCCACTTGTTTGCCATATGTCATAACTTTTCGTGTGCTATTCTGATTAATTGCTCTTCCATGCACTTCGGAACATATAGACCTAACTTGCCATCACTATCTCTTTTGTATATTATTATATTATTGCATCTATCATTTTAAATTCAGCCTCGCGACCTTCCTCTATTATTTCTCTAATTTTTACTATCTCTTCATCTGCTCAGTTTGTAAGATTAAGTCCACATCATCTGGGGTAACACCAACCACTCCAATTTCTAGTGCTGAGTCTATAATTGGCTGCTCTCTATATTCCAAATTTTCCTTCTCTTTTGCTCTCATTTCTGTGAATCCATTTTTATTCATGTCTCCAATCTGGTCGATTGATAGCGAGATTCTACTTCTGTTGTTTTACCCGAATAAAACGAAATGGGAATCATTTTTCCGTCATCTTGTTTTTCTAACAGTACTGCTCCATATCCGTGTGAGCTTGCATCGGTATGCAACTCAGTTTTTCTGTTGGGACTAAAGATGGCAATGACCGGAGGGTTTGCTAGTGCTTTCTTGAGCGTTTGAATTACTTCTAGCTGTTCTTTGTTAAGGGGAAAAGGACCACCCGCTTTTAGTACTTCGAGCAATGGTTTTGCTATTTTCGCGAATGATAACACAAAGCGTCTAAAATATGAAAAAAAAACCCTAGGCACGAATGTAGTGCTTTTATATTTTGTGGAACTGCATAGCTTTTTAACGGTTCTATATAAGAGTCACTATGCTCTTTTGTGTCACCTTGTATCCCAAAAACTCAATATCTCGTCTTAAAAATATGCATTTTTCATATTTATCTCTAAATTATGTTTACTTATTCGGGCTAATAACTTCTTCAAGATCTCTATGTGTTCCTCTACTATCTTTGTTGCGACCATTATATCGTCCATATAAACTACGATGCTCTTATTTCAAATGAGGTCACTAAGCAGATTGGAAATAAGTCTCTGAAATACGGCTGATCTATTTTTAAGCCCGAAAGGCATTCTTAAATACTCGTACTGTCCATGAGGGGTTACGAACGCAGTGTACGGGATTGATTTTTCCTCAACTCCAATCTGGTGGTAACCACTTTTAAAATCTATAACGGAAAAACAGCATTTGTTCTCTTAATATTCCAGACAGTCCTCAATTAGCGGCAACGGAAAATTGTCCTTGATAATTCGCTTGTTCAAACCGCGATAATCAACACACATTCGGAGATCTCCTGACTTCTTTTTCACCAGAACCAAAGGGGAAGCATACGGAGATTCGCTAGGTCGCTAGCCGTGGATTGCAGTAGAATGGTGTTGTGTCCGTTACTCTAATAGTCATGTTGTATTTAGGGGGCACTGTAAAGTCATATTCCCGATACAGATAACGAGTTCTAATTAGTTCCTTACATTTGTCTGCCCAAGATTTGCCAAACTCTTCACCCACGTTAATGGGATCATTATCTTCTATTTCAATACTGGCGCAAAAGTTACTAAAATCATCTTGCTTGTTTAAAGTATTGAAGACTACTCTTAACTTGGCTGCCTACCTCTTCATTTAGTAGTTGATTGCTTAAGTTGCTACTAATTTGTTGATTAATTAATGCAGGATTGCTTACAATGTTATACGATAAATGATGGAATTGCTTATCACTAATAATTTGTTGGTCACTGGTGAACAAAGATGCACAAGTCGAATAAGCGGTTTTATTCTTTATTGAATTAAGAGGTAAATGATATTCAACATTAATACTTTTCTTATGAACTAATTTTACTTAAATGATTTCTAAAGTATCTCTTTTAATTTGGCATTTCAACTTTCCCCATGTTGGGATAGGCCGTCCTCCTAATTTGACTTCATATTTTAACTTTATATTTTTTGGTATTAATGCCTTATGAATAAAGCTTACGGGACTCCCCTTATCAAATAAACAAAAAACACTTGTGCCTCTCTCTTCAACAAACGGAACTCATAATTGTATTAATTAAACAGCTGCTAACTCGTTATTATTCACCTCACCCGTGCCCTCGTTGCCGTGTACTGCTGCAATTGTTGTTGTAGTACTGCGCTTAGGCCACCTCGCATACTGATGATGCATACTCCAGCACGCCCCATCTAGCTTCTTTGGCTGGCTGCACTGCAGTTCGCAACGCACGTCCTTCCAGGTCAATGGAGCTACATGGTCTATGTACGCCTTAGCGGAAACAGTAAAAATTTTTCGCTAATATCCACCGCTAAACATCTGGTATGTCGTACAGGGTCATTACGACTTCGAAGTCGCGCACCCATTGCACGATCGAAGCCATCATCGCCAGAAAAGCTGCGCACTAAAGTATCAATACGACTGACATCAAGGCGCTTCTTTGGCGCAAGTTGCAAATCAGCCACCTCTTTTTCAGCTTTCGATATAGCTAACTGTAACTCGGCTATACGTTTTATGCTTTCCAATAATTTCACCATCTCTTGCAATTGCTGAATTTCGTGACCTTCTGATGTTTGCACCGCGCTTTGTGGTGAAATACTTTCAGCCGTCAAGGTTGTGCGTACGTTTTTCGAAATTGCATCACTATGGTTGTCTCTTTTTTTCTCACGTACGGTTGCCTCGACTACCTTTGGCTCCATGTTTCCCAGAATTGTAGCGTCTTCTGCATCGTCGCCACCTGACGTTTTGTTACCACCCTCAAACAAATCCAGCATCCAATCTCCTTCTGCGGCTCTATAAACGGGATCGTCCATGATTGCTTCTGGGGCTGAACGCAATTACTGAATTGACATGCTTTCTCCAAACTCGACACTGTGGGCGCCCAATAGGGAAATTAATTCGCTCTTTGATTTTCTTAATATTTCAGTGAGTTTCATTGCCAATGATTTGCAATGTTATTTGGGTATACCCCACACCTGATCTGTAAAATAAAAAAGGCCGTTGGTTTTATTTTTACGCTTCTCGTCCGTTCCGTGCGGCTTTGATTTCAGCATTGAATACTTCTTTTATTCTTCTTCTTGTTTTGCTCGAAGTATCGATATCGTAAGCGGTATGGATACTTCAGGCATATTGCACAAAGTTGATTATTATCTTATCCTATAATATAATAACATTGATACATTTAAATATACATTCGATTGGTTGTCGATCTTACATACTAAACGCCATTTTTATACCCTGAACCCATTGAAAATGGGTAAAAAGGGTATAATGTTTTTGTGCAAATGGAAATGTATGTGACAGGCAGAAGGAAGCATCTCCGACCCCATAAAGTCGTAAAGCCGAGTCGATGCAGCCATGTCCGTCTGTCTGTCCGTCTGGATGTCTGTTCGTCAGTCCGTCTGTCCGTATGTATGAACGCAAGGATTTCAGAACCTATAACAGCTACATAGCTATTGCAATTTTAGATGTAGGTCCTCCTAGTGCCTGCGCAGATCGATATTGCTTCCGATAATCGATAACTTGCTCCGTTCAAGTAATCGATAAAAATCTATATCCGGTTTTATGGGCAATTTTGGTAAATAATAAGAGCTAGAGTCACCAAACTTGATATGTCGCTGTATATATATTTGCATTTGGTGGTGGAATAAGAGGGTTCAGGGTATCCCCTAGTCGGGTGCTCCCGACTAGAACCTCTTACTAGTTTATCATATTCTATATTTCGTTTTGCTTTTTATAAGCTATTTCAAATCTAAACTTAAACTCTTTTGAAAATCATCTATGTTATACTTATATAGGGTCTATTTTAGTTCTATTATAATATTCTGTGAACTGTCTTGGTAATTTACCAGAAACAAGTTCGTATGGACAGTACTCACGTATGTCGATGGTGTATTGTTGTTTCAGTCGCGATATACGAACGGATAAACTCGTTGAATGTTCAATGACTTCTTTCTACTGTTCCTTATGTCTGGTGATGATGTGCTGTTGATTGTATAATATTTATATTCATATACTTGTTCACGTCATTTATTAATGAATTTTAGTATTTAGTACTCATGTCCGTTGTGAACGTCTTCATAGGGCCGTACTTTAGTACAAAAAATTCAAAACATCCCTTAGCTACTGTTTTCGCACTTTTATCTGCTACTGGTATTGTAACTAGATATTAAGTTAGATCAAATATTATAGTGACTGCATAATCGTTTCCATTCACTGAACGCTGTATTGGTCCGATTATATCATTTAAAACAGTATCAATAGCTGTATTCGGTGTATTCGTTATTACCATTGGTGCTTTTGTATGTGTTGTGGTCTTTGCTTGTTGGGATTTTACACAAGCTTTCACATACTTTGTAATTGTTTTAGTCATTTGGGGCCAGTAATAGTATTTCTTAATTTTTAACAAGGTACGCGATATCCCTTTACGGCCTTCTTCTATAGGATCATCATAATATTTCAGTATTGCTTTTATTTGACTTTCGTAATTTTTGTCTATTTGTATCACTTTTGTTAGTAACGCTAGTTTTAATATATTTTAATACTTATTGGCCATATTTTTTTAAAATTTATTTATGATACAAATTCGATAATTTGTTCATTTAGTGAGACTAGTCTCACTGTATGTGTATGTTAACAATTTTATGTATTCCGGCTTCTGAGTTTGCCTTTGAAAAAATTGTCCTAAGTCAAATTTTCCATTAAAGTACAAATCTTTGATCGTTTCCTCTTTTAAGTAAACAAATTATTTTACCGAATTTTAGTTACACAAATTTCATTAGGTCATTATTGCCAATGACTTCATAGACATTGGTTTTTCTTCCCTTGCAGAGGGTATTATAATTGTGTCGGGTGTTTGTGGGGGTGGCGTCAGATAAATAATCCTTGATGTGATTGGTGAAAAAGCACTTTATTAGAATTTTCTGCTGCATGTAACAAACTCTGCTGATTAAGTGATTTTACATATTTTAAGTTGTCTCTCTCAGTGAGTGAGTCTCACACTGAGTGAGGCTCAGTCAATGCTGTGTGACACTAGCCCCCCCCCATGGCAATTGGTAATATGCAGATTGCAAGAATTCCTATTGCGTGCATTTGCCAGAGAGTATCCATCCAAACTTGGTATTTTGAGCCATCGGCAGACCGCCTTGGCTCGGGAGGATACCTGGTAGGATGTTGTCTGGGTAGACGCCGGCGCCGAGTACCAAAGGGACTGGAGATGGACGGAACCATTCGTTGTCCGCCAAAGCGACGTTGCTGAACGGGTCCTTCATGTCCGCTCTGATCGCTCGGGCTGGAGTTATGCAGCTGAGTTGCGGGTCAGCCATGAAGACCACTTCTCGAGACATCTGAGTTGTCTTGGAGCATAGCACGGCTGTGCACGCTCCTTCTGCTCCAATGCGCGTGACGGAAAGGCCATAGGCCTTTGCCACGGCTGCATTAATGCGGCTTACTAAACAACATGGATCGATCAGAGCCCGAGTCTCAAGGGTCCTTTTTCCGGTGTCGAGCAGCACTATGGCGGTGGGCAATATACTGACCCCCTTGTGCTGGAGAAGGGACGTAAGCGACGTCCGTATAGTAGCACGTCTCGGGCTTGGAGGTGATGTGCCGCTGGAGGGCGAGGAGCCAGAAGCTCTTCTTGTGGGCCTGTTGTCTGACCGAGAGGGTCGAGCGCTACGGGGATCACGCATGTGGAGTAAGGTGTGGTGGTCCTTTTTGCAAATTTTGCACTTGGCTCCACTGCGGCATGATTCCCCTGAATGCTGATGAGCCAGGCAGTTGGAGCAATATTTGTTAATTAACACGGCTCGGAGACGCTTCTCGGGCGTGAGCTTCAAGAAGCGCTGACACTTGCGTAGCGCATAGATGCCTCTACACACCCGGCATCTAAAAGAGTCCGTTCCTTGACGTTGATTGGATGCCTTCGTTGACGGTGCCTTGCTGGTTCTCGACAGAGGAGTGAACTGGAGAATAAGATGTAGGACAGGTGTTATTATGTGATGATTTTGTTTTGAAAGAGGGATTAGTTGCTTTTAAGGATTAGTCGGTGGTGCTATTTGCCTCAGTAGGAAGAAGGACCAATTTGGCTATCGGCCTTCGGATGACACCACGAGCGGTAAGCACGTCCACTACGCGGACCTTGTCATCTGTGCCTGGGCAAGCCAGCTGGACTCGGCCAAGGCGCCATTCATTTATTGGTATGTTATCTTTCTTGATAATCACCATATCACCGACTTGGAGGTCCCTTGTAGGGGACTGCCATTTGTTTCGCTTATGAAGCTTTTAAATACTCATTCTTCCACCGTAAGCAAAATTGCTGGTGGAGCGCTTTGAGTCGCTGCCAGCGGTTAATTATAGAAATAGTGTCTTCTTTGATTACTGGCTCGTTAGTTGACAGAAGAGGGCCACCAACTAGGAAGTGGCCTGGACTTAGAGCCAATAAATCAGTCGAATCTTCTGACATTGGAGAGATTGGCTGGAGTTAAGGCAGGCTTCAATCTTGGAGAGGAGAGTCACGAACTCCTCAAATGTATATTTTGAGGATGCGGTGGACTTGTAGAAGTGGGTCTTAAAGCTTTTGACACCTGCTTCCCAAAATCCGCCCATGTGAGGAGCGCCAGGAGGATTGAAATGCCAACACAAGTTTTGATGGCTATGCTTGGATAAGATGAGCTCTTTGGTCGCTTGCAAGAAATCTCTCGAAAGAACGGATGACGCTCCCACAAATATTTTCCCATTATCTGAGTACATCTGTTGTGGAAGGCCACGTCTTGCGATAAATCGCGAAAATGCGGCCAGGAATCACTCCGTGGTTAGATCTGTGGTGGCTTCTAAATGGATTGCTTTCGTGCTGAAGCACACGAAGACACAGACATCACCTTTGGTAATTTTGCATGCTCGACCAATATAGCTTTTAATATCGAAAGGTCCGGCAAAGTCTACACCCGTATGTGTGAAGGGTCGGGAAAAGGTTGATCTCGCTCTTGGGAGTTCGCTCATAAGTTGGGTCTGGAGTCGTCTACGGTGTATTACACAGACCTTGCAGGAGTTTATGGTAGATATTACCAGGACCTTGAGCTTTGGGATCCAGTATTTGGCTCTTATGAGGCGCATTACCAACTGATTGCCTCCGTGAAAACAAATGAGGTGGGTAAATCGGACCGGGAGGCGTGAAAAATCACAATTGGCCGGAATGATTATGGGGTGTCGCTCATCATAGCCTAACGAGGTTGACGCTCTCACCCGTCCACATGATAGCAGAATACCCCTTTGATCGATGAAAGGGGTTAAATTGTGAATGCTGCTTGATCCTTGAATTAGCTTCTTATCGAGCAAACAGCTATACTCCTTACGATAAGCTTGGCGTTGAGTATACTCGATAAGTCGGAACTGAACTCTTGTAAGTTCTTCATTACAGAGTTCGGCGGGAAAGTGGATCGCTGGATTTCTACAGCGCTGAATGAAGCGACAGACATATGCAATAACTCGCAATGCCTTATCGAATCTGGAGAATCGTTCCAGAAGGTTATAGGAGGGTAGCTGTGAGACATTGCACTTCACTGAGCGTTGTTTAATCTCTGTCTCAAGTACAGTAACAGGAACTGGCCATTGGTTTTGTGGTAGTTGTAACCATTCCGGTCCATGCCACCACAAAGTGCTGCCCAATAGGTCCCGAGGAGAAACCCCCCGACTAGCTAGGTCAGCTGGGTTATGTTCGGATAGAACATGGGACCATTTGCCATTGGTTGATGATATCTTGGCTACCCTGTTAGTCACAAATGTAGACTATTTGCATGGGGGTTTATTCAACCTGGCAAGAACAATAGTGGAGTCTGTCCAATTGAAATTTTCTTTACTCTGGATGGGGAGCTGAGGAATAAGAGCCGTGGTGAGCTCGGAAAGGAGGACGGCGCCACACAGCTCTAAGCGTGGTAGTGATACCGTCTTAACTGGCGCGACTCTCGTTTTTGCTGCGAAAAGGTGAGTGGAGATGCATCCGTCGATCTCGACGCGCAAATAAAGTGCAGCACCATATGCACGCTGGGACGTGTCACAGAAGCCGTGAAACTGCACCTTTGCCTTTTGCTGAAAATCGACCCATCTTGGAATACGGATCTCTTCGAGAGAGGGATAGTCGGTTAGGAAGTCATGTCAACGTTGAACGAGATCTTGCGGCAGGGAATCATCCCACCCCAACTCTTGGAGCCAGATCTCTTGCATGAAAATCTTTGCTCGAACTATCACAGGTGCTAGCCATCCAGCAGGATCGAGCAATTTCGCAATCTGTGATAGTACTTCACGTTTAGTGAGCGAAGGCTGAGATACCATTTTGCACGGAGCAAAGAAAAACTGGTCTGCTGTGGCTTGCCATCGAATGCCTAGCCTTTTAGCGACGCTGGCCTCGTCGATTTCTAAGAAATCCGCACACAGTAAGTGGTCCCTTGGTATTCCTTTCAACACTTCCTTTGTGTTGGATGTCCACTTTCTCAGAGGGAACAAAGCTCTGTCGAGTGACATGCGGAGTTCTGCAATGGCTGAAATTGCTTGTGGCTTCGTGTGTGCCCCTGCTAGAACATCATCGACATACATACAATTTTCAATTATATCGGATGCGATGGGACATTGTTCTCGGAGGACCCGGATTGCGAGGTATGGGGCACAGTTTACCACAAAGGTAACTGTATTAAGTTCGAAGTCGCAAAGTTCGTCGTTCTCGTTGCGAAATAGTATTCGTTGGTATGTCTTGGATCGACCTGGATTTGCCGATACATCTTGGTTATATCGGCATTGAAAACGTAGCGGTAGAATCGCCACTTTAGTATCTGAATCGTCAGATCGGATTGGAGTACTGGTCCCGTGTGTAGGATATCATTTCGGCTTTTGCCATTGGAAGACGGGCTGGAGGTGTTAAACACAACGCGAACCTTTGTTGTGGTGCTGTCGGGCTTAAAAACAGCATGATGCGGCAGGTAAAAATGATTGGGGTTGCTGTTTGGAGAGACTTGTGTCATATGACCTAAGTCGAAGTACTCCCGAATCACGGAGTCGTACTGCTCTTTCAAAGGAGGGTTTCTTTTTAAAAGATTCTCGTTCTTTAGAAACTGAGCTAGTGCGATAGATCTTGAATGTCCTAAGTCTATGTGATTAGGTTCTTGGAAAGGTAGGGTGACTACATATCTGCCATTCTCGTTCCTTGTTGTTGTTCGGATGAAATTACTCTCACAAAAGGAGTCCGAGCTCTTTACCAGTTTGACTGGAATGTCCTTCACCTCCCAAAATTTTGTGAGAATGACGTCTAATTGCTCTTTTTGAGAGACAGATATTCGAGTCGAGAATGACGTGATTGCGGTGGATGCGGTCTTTGAAACCGGGCCTGTTAAAATCCACCCGAAAATAGTTTCCTGGCCCAGCAACGTGCCACATATATTAGGATGGGAGCCGCCAGTTAGAATGGACGGTAGGATATCAGCGCCAATCAGCACATCTATTTGCGAACTCTTGTGGAAATTAGGGTCCGCTAACTGGAGTTTTGGCAGGGCTGTCAATAAACTTTGGGGGATCAAACATGATGGTAGATTCCCTGCCAAATGTGGTAGGGCGTAGGCTGATGCCTCGATTTGGATACGGAGCTTGGAAGGAAAGCCAATATTAAAATGGCAGAGCTTGCGAGGCTGGGCTGCAACAGCTTGATTTAATCCCGATACTTGTGCCTGTACGGATTTGTACGGTAGCTTTATCAGGTGGAACTGTCGCTCGGAAATAAATGTTGCCTCTGATCCCGAGTCGATCAGTGCACAAGCTGTATAATTTACACCCAAATGGCGAACATATATAACAGCCGTACTTAGGAGAACACCGTGGGTGTTAATTGCAACATAATTGTGAACATTCGTTTGTTCGGATCGAGTGGACTGTATGGATTGATTGGAGGGAGCTGTTGCTTGTGGCATGGAGACTACTGTAGGGCTCACTGGGCAGTGTCACTACGATGCAAGAGCGTATTGTGACGACCCTTGCACGTAAAACAATTGTAAGCACTTGTGCAATCCCTTAACTGATGACCCCTAGCGAAACAGTTCAAACATAATTTTTTGCTGTTTGATGTAAGTTGCCCGTTCGCTGACGGGCATTTGGAGAAATCGTGGGCACAGACGGATAGGGTGATTCTTCCTGGAGCACAATTTGCAGGCTTGCGGCTTGTTAGCGACCTTATTCTCAAATAAGTTAAGCCTTCTAGTGGTAGGAGATTCTGTTCGAACAATTCTGGAGTGCGCTGGAGTATTTGCGCTTGGCTTAAGCTCTTCTATCGCTTCTAGAGTGCGATAGCGTTCTAGAGAGTGTTAATTTGGGTAATTTGGAGGAGCATAGGAACACGAGGATACAGTCCCAGTTTTCTTTGTTGATTTCGGATAACTTCAGAGCTGTTAAGCAGCCTTAAATGGTGCTCTGAAGTTCCTTAATTGCCGTTCCAGACTCTTGGAAGATTGGCTGCAGGTTGAAAAGAATCTTGAGCTGGCTGTTGACTAACAATTTTCGGTTCTCAAAACACTCAGTCAGATTGGCCCAGGCTGATCGGAAGCCATCGTTAGTCAAAGGTGACTTCGATACAATCGCCTAACCCTCACCGCTGGTTTTCGCATTGAGACCTCTGACAACCTAGGATTATTTATGTAAATTGCGGTAAAGAGGTCTCGAAATGTGGGCCAACGTATGCAATCTCCGCTGAGGATTCTGTGTCGCAAGGAGGAAAGCGACACCCTGTGGGAACATATGTCGGAATGGTGGACTGAGCGGATGGTCTATTTTGGGCGTTAGCGGTATCGATTTGCTCGCTAAGTTTAGCGGCGCATCTCTCATATACCATGTAACAATAGTCGTACTTGGACTGCATAACTGAAATAGTTTCCAGTGAACCGGCTTCCGATTGTTGAGCCGACCTCGTACTCTTTTTCAACCTTGTCCC